TTTGATTTGCATTCCCTTAATTAATTGTTGAGCATATTTTCATGTGCTTATTGACCATTTGTTTATCTTCTTCAGAGAAACGTCTATTTAAATCCTCTCCCCGTTTTTAAATTGGGCTATTTGTCTTTTTATTTATCATTGAGTTGTAAGAGCTCTTTATATATTCCGAATAGCAGGCCTTTATCAGATATACGATTTGCAAATATTTTTTCCCATTCTGTGGGTTGTCTTTTCACTGTCTTGATAGTGTCCTCTGACACACACAAGTTTTTAATTTTGATAAGGCCCTCCTTTTGTTTTGTTTGCTTATGCTCTTGGTGTCATAGCTAAGAAACCATTGCTAACCTAAGGTCATGGAGATTCACATCTATGTTTCCTTTTGAGAGTTTTTACTCTTACAGTTAAATCTTTGATCCATTTTTTGAGTTAATTTTTGTGTATGATGCAAGGTAGGGGTCCAAATTTATTCTCTTACATATGGATATCCAGTAGTCTCAGCACCATTTGTTGAAAAGACTATTCTTTTGCTACAGAATGGTTTTGGCATCCTCATCAGAAAACGATTGACCATGCATATATATTTCTGGACTTTGAATTCTATTCCATATGTCTATCCTATACCACTACCATACTATCTTGATCAGTGTAATTTTGTAGTAAGTTTTGAAATCAGAAAGTATAAATCTTGCAACGTTGTTTTCTTTTTCTTTTTTTTTTTTCCAATGATTGTTTTGGCTATTCTGAGTCCCTTGCATTTCCATGGGAATTTTAGGATTAGTTTATCCCTTTCTGCAAAAAAGCCTACTGGGATTTTAATACAATTACACTGAATCTGTAGATCAATTTTGAGAGTATTTCCGTTGTAACAATATTAAGCCCCCACTTCATGAACATGAGATTCCTCTCCTCTCCTTTTTCCTTTTTTTTTCTTTTTGTGTTTTTTGAGAGGGTGTCTTGCTCTGTCACCCAGGCTGGAGTGCAGTTATCTTGGCTTACCGCAATCTCCGCCTCCTGGGTTCAAGTGATTCTCCTGCTTTAGCCCCCTGAGTAGCGGGGATTACAGGTGCCTGCCACACTGCCCGGCTAATTTTTGTATTTTTAGTAGAGACAGGTTTTCGCCAGGTTGGCCAGGTTGGTCTTGAACTCCTGACCTCACATGATCTGCCTGCCTCAGCCTCCCAAAGTGTTGGGATTACAGGCGTGAGCCACCGTGCCCGGCCTGTCTTCGGTCTTTGCACTCCTGATAGTGACCTTAGCAAAACTAAAAAGTACCATATGAAATCAGGACTTTGGGAGGCCAAGGCAGGCGGATCACTTGAGGTCAGGAGTTCGAGACCAGCCTGGCCAACATGGTGAAACCCTGTCTCTATTAATAATACAAAAAATTGGCCAGGTGTGGTGGCGTGTGTCTGTAGTCCCAGCTACTCGGGAGGTTAGGACAGGAGAATCACTTGAACCCAGAAGGCGGAGGTTGCAGTGAGTGGATGTTGTGCCACACAGAACTCTAGCCAGGGCAACAAGAGCAAAACTCCATCTCAAACACAAAACAAAACAAACAAACAAAAAAACCGAAGACAGATGGTCGGGTTGTTGGGACAAAAGGTAGCCATCGACAAGAATGAGGAGTACCTATAGAGAACAGGGGCAATCACAAGAGGGCACAGGAAAAGTACTATGCAGAGCAGTATAGCCATGTAAGGCGCGTTAGCCTGGGGGCAAAGGGCTCTATACCCTTCAAGAGGCCCGAGAATATCAATGTCAACGCCAAACACTCTGGCAAAATGGTTGGCAAAATTCAGTGAAAGAATAAGGTAAACCCCACACAATTTTACAGCCCTGGAGGGCATCAATACATCAAAGTTTACATTCAGTACCATGTTCAGAACAAGGGACTAAGTCACTGAGAAAAGGTTAAATGATATTCACCACACTCCATCAACAGGCTGCCAAGAACAAATAGATTTTAGAAACATTTCTTTCTAAAAATGCAAATTTCTCATCACTGTCAGAGCTTACAGTCATAAATTTCAGTTATCTAGACAATAGGGGCTGACTTATTCCCCAAAGATATCAGATGGCTAAGGCTTCAGGTACACATAGACACACATCACTTATAAAGAACCAAAGCACTTTATAACGCAGGTATTCAGGGACATAGGGAGGACCTGATTACATAAGGACCTTAAGGTAAAAAGTTCTATTGAGAAGCAACTCTGAGGCACCAGATGATGTCTTTAAGCTATCACTTACACCTCAGCTAGCCAGCGCCAATTCAGAAAACCACCACCCACCAAAATTTACTTGGACCACCCAGATTTCTGATTGGAGTTCAATTCTCCTGTTACCTTGGCTACCCTCCCAATTCCTGATCTGTGGTCTGAGTTTCAAGGTCATGATTCTTACTCCTGTTTAGTTTTTGGTGTCTTCTGTTTGGACATCTGGTAGCTAACCCTGGCTTTGTTCCATCATTCCACCTCCTGACTCCCAGATTGGCTCTAACATTCATCTTTGGCCACTCCAGGACTGGCTCTTGCCCACCTTAGTGGTGTTTTACTACATCTTTACTCTTTGCCAGGCCGTAACAGGAGGTCAAGCTGAATCCACACAATAATAGGTCACACTGGGCTTTGTGACAGCTATTTTGTATGTGATGCCAAATATACCCATCTTGTCTGAATTAGGCTCCCTCAGGGGAAGTAATTTTTTATCTGACTTTTCTCTAACAGGAAATAGTACATACTAGCATCAGATACCCATTTCACAATGGGGTAAATCTACTCCAAAGCAGTAAAACGGCTCAAATCCCAACTGGGCATATTCATTCACAAATAAAAGGCCTAAAAGTCAGATGCAAATGAAGCTAGCTAGCTAACCGCCCTGTGGGAACTAAAGGGGAAGACTTAGCCCTGGCAAGCAGTTAGAGAAGTTTGAGAAGTGGTTCTCAAACTTTAATGTGCAGAGAGTTACCTGGGAAACTAGTAGATTCTAGGCACGACCCCTAGAAAGTCTAATTCAGTGATCTGGGGCCAGGAATTTGCATTATAACAAAAAATTCTGATGCAATCAGTCCTTGGGCCACCCTATGAGGAACACTGCATCACAGCAATGAGAACTCTGACAGACACACAGGACAAGCGCAGTAAGTACTGGATCCCACCAATTCTTCGTCTCCGAGATGCTATGATTCATCTTGTCTAAGGCAGGTCATCTGGCCAATCCTTTCTTAATACTTTTATTGCAGAATATCAGCTCAGTTCCAAGATCAACCTGGTTTTAGTAAAGGCAATGTTCATTTCCCAAGTTTCCACAAGGAAGATAGTTTTAGAGTACACAGGAATAGATGTCTAAGTTACATTTTTCTCTTGACTAAGAAAGAAATGCTATGAAGAAAAATATACCATTTAAGTTACACATGATTGTTCTTCATCAATCTTCATCCCTTAAATAGAACATCTCCCTATGGTAATTTCAAGAGTCTCATGATTTTGCCCAAATTAAACAAGATATTTTAAATTGAATAGCAATAACTGCTACTTTAAATAAGGAATGAAAATATCTATTTGATGCAGAAAACCTTCAAATGAGCTGTCCAGAAACACATATAGCATTGGCAAGGAATGCCTTTACCTGGATGTTCTGATAGGGGCCTGGCAGACCAATGGGAGAGCCCAGGAAATACAGGAGGCTGTGCACAAAACTCGGTAGGCAAGTTTCCCCAGGCACTTCCCCAAGCAAAACTGGAGGAGGACCTCAGGAAAACCAGTTAAATTGGGAGGATTCTGATGGGGATAGTATGCTTTTGGAATATAAGATGACAGAGGATATTGATGAGCTATTAGATCCAGGAAGTCTGTCTGATATTTGAGATAATGGAGCCTCCATTTGTTTCACGACGATGCCTTCATTTTTATATCAACATGGTTTATGGCTTGTAGGGGATATATGGACTGACTGATGCAACCATTAAGGATGTTAGAGCCCCACTCTTACTATTATTGTGATATGTGTGTGTGTTTGTTTTTTTCCTAGGAGGATCTTTATTTTTTCTCCCAAATCTCATAACTGGTTATGCAGATGTTTAATTGAGAGGAATAATTATGAATTACGATTTTTTTTCTTTCAAACTTTCCTCTCTGAATCATTTATTGCCTTTCCTCTCTAATTACAAGTGTTTTAAATATTATAAAATTCAAGTTTAAAAAAATAAACATTGCTAGTAGGCAAACCCAAGCCCAAAAAAGCTCACTTTTTAAAGAAAATGTTAATGTTTCTTGAAAGCCTTGTGTATTATAAGATTGATGATTTACAGAAAAGGAATTTAAAGTCAGAATAAGAAGTAGACAAAGTTGGTTGAGAGAGAAAGGTAGGTAGATTAGCCTCGTGAAGGCAAAGGAACAGTGGAACTCAATGGAGCAGGATGATCAGAAGTAAGCTCAATTAAAATGTGAGAATACAGGTTTCCAGCTACTAGAATACACAAGATGTTAGGGGTATATTCTGAGAAAAATGCCTAACTAGGAAATTAAAGCTGAACTGTTGACCTAGAGTTTTTGAGCCCTTTTATCGCTCTGATATGCTTTGGGTAAATAACTCAAGGAAGGCAAATTTCACCCAGCTTATGCTTGCTCTTCAACTCTGACCCTTGCCTACTGAATGACTTTAAATAACTGTTGCAGAAAAAAATGATACCACTTTAATTTCCAGCTCCATCCCCATCTGGCCAGGGAGAGGGTCAATTAATATTATTGTGTTTTGTCTTTAGGGCATCTGATACCCCTGAGGACCAGCCTGCGGGACAGTCTGTTTTTGCAGGGTTTCTTGGCCAGAATCAGAAGAGTGGGATTCAGGACAAGGCCAGTTCACGTAACACAGCTCAGAGCCATACAACACAACTTGCTCCAAGGATGTTGGGCATTGTGCTTCATTAGGAAACAAAATATAAGCTTTCCACACCATTAGGAATGACTTTAGGAGTGAAAGCACATAAGACGATGCCTCACCTCATCAACAATGCACTGCAGAAGCTGGAGAGGCTGCAATGGAAAAGAAGAGAGGAAAAAGTATTAGCCTCTATGCAATATCTTTACAGTGGAGTGGAAAGAAAAAATCATTAATGCAATAAAATATAGCAAGATTAATCAACAACAGCAAACTCTTATAAAAACATTGATGCTCAGGATGTTCTATTATTTCTAATGGTACCTAATCTAATACAGGCAGTTAAAGGTTTGCATTTTCTTCAAAATGCAATTTGCTAAGTTTAAAACAAGGCATTCAAGCATGCAAAGGAAGCAGCCATCAGGAAAAAGAAAAGTGAATTTTTTTCTGAACTCATAAAGCTTACCATTAAAGATCCCTGGTTTTTCTGAATCTGAAAAAAGGCAATATGTAATTAGCATGTCATAATCAAAATGACTCACTTGGACACATTATGATCACTGAGAGAAAATTATTGCATTGCTGGTGGCAATTTGTGGGCATGTGTTAACACAATTTACATAATGAAAATACACAAATGTTAATAGCTCGCTTCTCATTTATAGGCGAAAGTCAGCAGAATGTTAATTTCACACAACACTTTTTAGTACCCTCCAGGTTGTATTAGAATAGGGAGAAAAACCATAATCCATTTCAAAAGGCTGTTTACGATTCAGATATAAATAATGTTTTATATTGCTAGATTGTGAACACTGGGCTTAATGTTGCAATCATTGCTAATGTTATGAAGCTCACTCTTTTTAAATTAAAAACCGATTTATTTAAAATTGAAATTAAATCATAGTCAGAAATTAGAATTTTGGATTCCTGCCAGTGCCTGCTCACAATTCCCTATTTTGTGAAGAAAACTTTAATTATGTGGTTGAAGTATTTGCCCCTAACTTAGGAGTGAGGTAACGACTCCACCTTTTCCAAAGTTCCTTCTGCCTGTTTCCAGGGCAGCAATGCTCTCTGGGAAAATAAAATTCATGCAAGTTTTACACTGATTTTTAGGGAATAAAAGCAGAGTCCAGTAAGAGTGTGTTTCTGATCAACATTCTGAAGGCAGGTTGCTCACACATTTAACACTGATAAACTGAATTTCTTAGAAAGCTACTAAAACGTGACACAAAAATTAATAAAACATCCACTTAGTCATTAAAGTACTAAACACTTCAATGCCTCCCCATCCAGGAAAAAAAAAGCCTACAGTTATTATAAACTCAATGAAAATGAAACTCCAGGTACTACATTTTCTACAGAGAACTTTTCAGGAACCAAATACTGATGGGTCAACTGTTTTCTGAGATAACTGAGCTCCAACCAGCTGGTAAAATACACGGAAACTAGTAATGATCCCTTATATGTTTTTATAGGTGTTTACAAAAATTCTTTCCCATATACTAACTCATTTGATCTGCACAACCACCCTGAGGTTGGCGGGGATGATCATCTTTATTCTATGGTGGGAAAGCTGGGCCTACCAGAGGACAGGGTCCGGGCCTGAGGCCTCAGGGCCAGGGTGTGGTGGTGCTGGGGTTCCTCCAGAGCTCCTTTCCTTCCAGCATCTGTATTACACCTGCCTATGGTCATAGAGTTATTTCAAAACAACTGGATTTATATACATTTATACTTGGTATGGTATTGTTGATAAATTATCCATTTTGACATGTTGGTTCCTCTCACCTAGACTGTGAGTTTCTCAAGAGCTGCGGCTACGTTTATGCATTTCTTTTGCATCCATGTGGCTGATCAGCACACCCTTCCTCCTACTGCCTGAATGTTTTAAAGTGTTCTCCCATATATTTGTCAAATGAACATGGTGCCCACTCATTGCTCTTACTGGCTTTTCATCACTTCCTCCCCAATCACTACTTTGGGAAACCTCTGTCCCAGGTTGACTGGCTTAGTCTATGTTGATAGTCCCTGCTTAATGTTGTCCTGAATTACTGCTTATTCTGGTTCCTCCAGTCCATGAGTACTTCCAGCCAAGATTCTGCAGGTAAAGATTTATACTACAAGGGAAGGCGGAGCTGTAACCACCACCCTGAAGCAGTTAAGAATTTCAGTAACAAGCTACACCACCTTTAAAAAACTACTGAAAAGCCTGGACAACCTCTCCTATGACATGAGATACCTATGGAGTTTGCTTTTATATACTTTTTTCAAGCATACACTGATGCTCCCCCTACCCCTACATTCCTAGTAAGATATATCTACTTCAACAGCAGAGTTATTCGTAATGAACAAAGAATCAGAAATCCATTTCTGACATCAAAGAGAATGAGCTTCACAAATTTCCAAGAGTCAGGGGGATGACAACATTCTCTGAGGAGAACATGCAGCAAACATTCTAAGTGAGAGGTTTTGAAATGAATTCGAAATGGATTATGAAACACTGTCCCCAGTAACATATGAGTTGTGTGAATCAGATTAACTGAGGGGAGGAAACTTCCTCATGAACTGAGGTCTTAAAGAAAGCCTCTAGTTTGCCCTATTTTGCAGGTTAAAAGCTTAGTCTAAGACAACTTAAAATTGTACTATTTATGCTTGCTCTTTACTAAAAGAAAGAGAAAAACAGCAATATCAAAGTCTTTTTTAAAAATAATCTTATAACTATATTGTTTTGCCCAGGTTTTTAAAGAGAGATGTTATCAGGTTTTATTATACAGTTTTGATAGCACCATATTATATGAAATCATCTTCATAAATTTTGTATTAAGGTAGCAGTGCCAGTACCTGAAATTGATTCAAAAAGGCTTAAGATACTCAATTACTTTTTAACAGTTACACAATGCAGTGACTTATATCTTCTATTTCACAAGAATTTGATGATGTAACATCATTGTAATTGATTCATTTTCTCAATTAAATAAAGCTACTGTGCTTTTCTTTATATGAATGCCACATAGACCATAGAGTTAGATGTATTTATCTCCTTTTTCTGTCTCAGATATATTGCCATAAAGGCTGTATTCTGTTCCTCTGTTAATTTCACCAGAAAATTTAATGTCACAGTCATATTTTTAAAATTCTGAACTGCCATGTACTCGGCTGTATTTATATTAGGCATATTTTTCACTGCTAAACTCTTTGTTGTTTACCTTTTTCAAGATCACATTACTGTATAGGCACAGCAACCATAAAACAGACCCAAACAGTCAACCTCCAGTCATTGCCTCTGCTTTTGCACACAGTTCATGAAAAAGTGAAGCCCCTAGTTTTATAGCACATTAAAAGTGGAAGCAAAGGTCCTCAATATAAAATGTTGGCTTTGTGAATGCCTATCTTTATTCTGGGTCTGCCTTCGAAATGCTTAGCTGTGAGAGCAGAGTTCAGAGGAACACAATAATATTGTTAGGGCTGATGTACTGCCTGCACCTCACAACATATGAAATGCTGTTTATAACTAACTTGTCCAAGCCCTCATTCCTGCTTATACATTTTGCGTGTATTGAGTGTTTTCTATGTCTAACTAGTACTTTGGGACAATGAGAGAACAATAATTGTTCCAGTCACACACTTTGTTAATCAGTTTCTAGAACTAGTAGCATTTTGATAGACTAATTAAATGAACCTCTTCCCTTTTCTGGGCATAGATTTTTTTCTTTCATTAGCTGTTAGATTCAAGATTTAAAACCACACTAATAGGGGATAGTTATATCTCATTCTGATGTAAGACAGACTCTTATGTGTTTAAATGGGGGAAGAATGACTTCATAAAAGGCAGCCACAAGTACCAGTTAGGTCTTGGTATTATTACAGTAACATTTATCATATATTTCCTTACAAGGACTATGCAGTTAGCAATTAGAAAACTCTTATAACATGACTTATGACTGTGAAAAATGATGCTAGAAAGGAAATTGCCAATGTAAAAGTTTGCTTGTGGGGCCTCAACTATTTAGCCAATGACTCTGGTGATAAAAAGCAATTTTGGAAGTCTCACTTTATGCTTCGCTCTCTGTAGAGGAGCTTTTTACATAAGTGGTAAAACAGACCTCGCTACCAGCCCCTTTTATATTATATTCAGAGGCACAATCAGAAAACTAAAATGAATCTACCTATGTAACTTAGAGAAGACACCAGCTATAGCTTTCATTTTCTCCTTTACTCTCTGAAATTATGGCTTGCCCTGCAGCTCTTGTCTGTAAGATTTATGTATGACCTAGGTCAGATCTTCCAATATCAGTTGACAAATTTTCTCTTTACATATTTACTGCTTTTCAAGCTTGTATTATTTTCTCTTAAATAGAAAGAAGAAATATAAAATTAAATCACATGGTTGGAATTTTTAAAGAATAGCATTTTCATTTGTTGTGCTACTGGCATCACATTCTAGCTTTCTTTTTTCTCTTTTTTTTTTTTTTTTTTTTGAGACAGAGTCTCACTCTGTTGCCCAGGCTAGAGTGCAGTGGCGCAAGCTTGGCTCACTGCAAGCTCTGCCTCCCGGGTTCACACCATTCTCCTGCCTCAGCCTCCTTAGTAGCTGGGACTACAGGTGCCCACCACCACGCCCAGCTAATTTTTGTATTTTTAGTAGAGGCGGGGTTTCACCGTGTTAGCCAGGATGGTCTCGATCTCCTGACCTCGTGATCCACTCACCTCGGCCTCCGATAGTGCTGGGATTACAGGCATGAGCCACCGTGACCGGCCCACATTCTAGCTTTCAATGTTGAGTTCTTTATTCTTTTTTTTTTAAACTTCAAATTTTAGGAGCTGTGGCTATTTTGCAAGGATTCTCTTTTCAAATCAGATGCATGAAGCTATAACCCTGGCTAAATATAAACAGGGATTATGGAAAACTGAGACATTCATATTCTAAATGAAGAATTATGATCTAAAGTATTTATGAAGGGAAGGAACCCCAGAGATGATTTAGTTCAATCTACTCACTTTGCTTTAAGGAAGCTGAGGCTCAAAGGAGAGCAGCGCCCAAAGTCATAGATAGTGCCTGGCCTGACCCTGACAGTTGGGTTAGGAGGCTGTCCACTGTGAGAAAAATGCATGAACTTTGGAGTGAGAAAGACCCCTGGGATTCTACTCAGATGCCCATGGTCCCCAGAAGCCCCCTCCCTTCAGTGGGGCTTAGAGCTCTCGTCTACAAAGTGAAGGAAGGAGCTAGAGAAGCCCAAAGAGTCCTTGAAGCCAGAGCTTCCTATTCAGGAGCCATGTTTATTTTTCCTACCCAAGGAAGAAATGGTACCAGCAATCAATCTAATTTTATCTGGCACTGCGTGGGTATTAAAACTTAGGGAAATACCACTTCCAATCCAGTACAACTTGCAAAAACAAAGTGTCCATATCTCAAAAAGCCTTCAATGAGAAAAACAAAACCACTGCTACATGATAAGCTTTATATACATTGCATAGTACCACTACCTTAAAAAGCTC